GTTTCTCTGTTCTGTTGTGACAATAAAAGAAACAAGTTTCTTTTTAAAATGCTTTATTGTATTATTTTAGTTAAAAATCATGATGCATTGATAATCTAGTAATGTAGTATGTAATGTAAGTTAGCAGTAGTGGTCTAAGTCAGCCATCTTGCATATTATTGCTGTACCTATAATGCACAGTATTAAGTGGACTAGGTTTTAAATTTACACACAGTATTCTATGAACAACGTCAAACATCTTAGAAAACCTTGGAATTTGAAATGTATCCTAAATGCAACAGCCTTTTTTCTTTTTCTTTTTTTCAAAGCATGTGCTCTTCATGTTTAAATTGGAAATGTCAACACATGAGGGAAAACCGCTCTTATCAGGCTGATTCGCATGGACTTTAATATGTAGAGACAACTATAAGCCATTTGTTGATTACAATGCAAAACCCTGTGTGACTCTCAATGTTCTGTTTGTGTGAGGATTTAACGACTTAATGCCGACACTGACTCACAAACCGCTTCATTTCAAACTCAAGCTATTGGTTAAGACGAGGGGAGTGTTTGAAAACAGTCATTGTTCTAGCAGTTCTGTCTGGTGATGCAAGTTGACCAGAAATTACACACTTAACCTTTAAACGTAGTCAACATGCAATCCAAAATCCCCCTTTTTCCTGTTCCTGGAATTGTGATCAATGTAATATGTGATCAAAATCGAATAACTTTACTTTTTTGACTGACATCACCTTGGCCACACCAACAGGGAAAATAATGCTAACTAATGTGATGTAACATTGAGTTGAATGTAACCAATTGGATGTATTGTTTTGGGCTGCTGTTTTAAGTAATACAGCTTTTCTCAAATGTTACCAATTGTACAAAGAGTTATAACAATAAAAACATAATGAAAGGTTTCAAAGGAGTAGTTCACTTTTAAAAAAACTTTTGCTGATAATTTACTCAATAATTTACTCATCCAAGATGTCCATGTCTCTCTTTCTTCAGTCGAAAAGAAATTAAGGTTTTTGATGAAAACATTCCAGGATTTTCTCCATATAATGGACTTCAATGGGAACCAAACGGTTCAAGGTCCAAAAGTCAGTTTCAGTGCAGCTTTAAACGACACCAGGCGATGAATAAGGCTCTTATCAAGTGAAACGATCGCTCATTTAAAAAATTAAAAAAACAAAGTTTTATAAGCTCAAATGGTCGCCTTGCTCTGTTCTGTGATGTTCGTGACTTTCCTGTTCGAACTCGTTCATCAAAATGAACGAATCTTTTCCCGAGTCAACTCGTTCATTTCGTTCGTTGAATCAACCAAATGACAAATCATTTTGATAAACGAGTTCAAACTGGAGAGTCATGAACACGGATCACAGAACAGAGCAAGGCGACCATTTGAGCTTATAAAACTTAAACTTTATTTTTTTTTAAATGAGCGATTGTTTCGCTTGATAAGAGCCTTATTCATCGTCTGGAATCTTTTAAAACCCTTTGAAGCTGCACTGAAACTGTTTTTTGGACCTTGAACCGTTTGGTTCCCATTAAAGTCCATTATATGGAGAAAAATCCTGGAATGTTTTCATCAAAAACCTTAATTTCTTTTCGACTGAAGAAAGAAAGACATGGACATCTTGGATGACATGGGGGTGAGTAAATTATCAGCAAAAGTTTTTTGTAAAGTGAACTACTCCTTTAAGCGAGTGCTACCATTAAAGAGGACCTTGTCTTGGTTTAGTTTTTGGGCTCCACTAGAATGGGTTTTCATGCTTGAATGAATGAAAAAAAAAACCTCATTTCTCACATATTGGACATTGTTGCAGCCTCTCTCTTCTCAGTCTGTCAGTATTGCTTGGTTTAGTTTCTGTCTCTATGAAGCCCCTCCTTCTCTAAAGTGCTCTGATTGGTCTACTGGACCAGTGTTTCGTGATTGGTCAAGCACATTGTGCGTGTTTGCGAAATGGTCCTAACGGTTCATTCGTCTCTAGGTTTAGGGTGAAAATGCCCCCACCGCCTCCCAGGCAAGACCAGAAACTGCCTGATGTCATCATATCAGAGAAAAGAAACGCATCCCTCGCTCCCCATCAGGTAAACAATCGCCTGGCAATTGCATGCAACACTCAAATTTGAAATTGATAGTACGATATATTGCATATGATATGATATGAGTGCATTACATTTCTGAATTTGAGTTGCTAAACAAAATAGGTGATTTTGTTAAGTTTTTGTATTGACTGTAACGTGACAGGAGCTGATATTCTTGAAATGCTGTTTTTGATGAATTGAAAGGAAGCTCAATCCTGCATTTCTCTAATTATTATTGTTTTATTTGTTTTTCTCAGGTGAGTCATCTACCGTTTCCCTTTGAAAACACGACACAGTTTGAATCTTGCATCCGTACTCCTATTGGGCCAACGTGGAACACACAGAATGTTGTGAAGAAGATGACAAAACCTAAAGTCGTCACGACAATGGGTGCGATCATCGAGCCGATGGTCAAAGAGGACTTTGTAAAGAATAGGACCACAGCGGCTAAAGGACAGCAATTTGAAGAGGATAAAGGGGCGAGAAAGGGAGCAAAACGGCCATCAGGAAGAAGTCAAAGATCACAGAAGAGGAAAAAAAAGTAAATGGCAAAAGTGTTTAAAAACTGTTTCAAGAAGACATCTCTAATAAATCACCAAACAAACTTTTTGTATTTCATTTCATTTCACACATATATCGATTTGTATGTAACTGATGAATGATAGATGAGTGTTTCACCCACTACAGGAGCCAGTTGAGTAAACGGCCTCTAAATTCAGACTGTTGTGAGACTGGAAGAGAGGGCTAGTCTGAGAAAACAAAGGAAATGATCATTTGAACTCTCTTCAGAGAAACTAGCATCCCCACCAAAGATGAAATCAATCACCTCAGTGTTGTATTAGAGTAGTTCACTTTAAAAAAAAATGTTGCTGATAATTTACTAACTCCATATAATGGACTTCATTGGGAACCAATCGGTTGAAGGTCCAAAAGACCGTTTCAGTGTAAACTGTTGATCAGTGTAAACTCGTTCATCAAAATGAACGAATCTTTTCCAGAGTCAACTCGTTCGTTGAATGAACCAAATGACACGAAAAAAGATCCGTTCATTTTGATAAACGAGTTCGAACAGGAGAGTCACGAACACGCGTCACAGAACAGAACAAGGCGAGCATTTGAGGTTATAAAATTGTTATTTTTTTAAATGAGCGATCGTTTCACTTGATAAGACCCTTATTCATCGTCTGGAATCACTTAAAGCCCTTTGAACAGTTTGCACTGAAACTGTCTTTTGCACCTTGAACCGTTTGGTTCCCATTGAAAACTTTCACTTCTTTTCGACTGAAGAAAGAAAGACATGGACATCTTGGATGACATGGGGGTGAGTAAATTATCAGCAAAAGTTTTTTAAAAGTGAACTACTCCTTTAATTTATATTTCTTTCCCTTCACTTCTTGTCCTCCATCTCTTCTCTCTCAATCATGCTGAGATCACCTGAAATTCACCCAAAAATGTGTGGTTTAATGTGAACGATTATCATACGACACTATCCGTGTTTGGTATCATTTGAAATGTCTCAATGTGACTGATACAAAGGTCTCATCCCCACAGAAGTAAAATGAAAGGTAATCAGCCCGTAATGATTAATGTCTTTCAGACACTCAGCCTCATCAGTCAGGTACATCTACTCTTTATCTCTGAGCATTTTATGTTTTGTATTGATTATCTTTGAATTGATTGTTATTAATGTAAATGTAATAATAAATAGTTACATTTTGATTTTATTCTGAAATCATTTTGCGTCTTTTGTACCCGCAAAGCTGTGTCAGATTAGTAACGTACTAAGGTCCTGTTTTGAGAGGAGCTTTAAAAACCAACTGCGATTTTGGAGTTTCGGCTAATGTGACATTAATTCAAGTGTACTTGGGCTGTAAAGAAAAAAGGGTATTTTCGTTTAGGACGGCAAAATGATACTCGACCAACCTAAATAGGATGAGTCTTACCTCTGTTTAATGTAATGTTACTCTCAGCCTCCTGGGACACTTGTTGAGCACTGTTTATGTTTTTGAATTTCTTGAAATATGATTGAAATCTCTTCAAAAAAGGAAAATACAGTTCGGTACAACGTGTGCAGCGCAAATCATATTGGCTATACAACACTATAAAGAGAACATCATTATAATCGTGCGCTTGGGACATGGGTTTAATTGTGAGACTTTTGTTTTGTAATCAGGCTCTCAAAAGTATATAAAAATGTGAATTTAAATATATCGGTTATCGGCTTTCAATAATAAAGAATCATCTTATCGGCCAAAATGTTCATATTGGTGCGTCCCTAGTTAATCGGTCCTAGACCAATCTACCTTTTCGTGTAACTGCCTTATAAAAAGTTTCTTCCATAGGCCTACTGGTTATTAATTTCTTTAAGACTAAAGACGCTACAGTAAAAATACAGTAAAAAAAAAGAAATTTTAAGAAATGTCGCAATGGTTTTGTAATTTGTTTCTGTCCATTCAATGGAAGTCTGTTATAGTTATGCCAATTATTTTAAATACAGCATAAATTCACTTTAAGTAACACATTAATGTTTGTTAGGATACAAAAGATATTTCATGACTTTAATTGGTAACATTTCATGTCGATAAACCACCTGTGTGAACATGCCTTAAAAATCACATTCACTCATTAGGCTACTAGTCATTGCTAACAAAGACGAGTAGTTTGTTTGCATTTGACATTTGGTAATTTATTTTTTGTGATCATACGAGTGGCTTGAGACTGTATATATTACATTTTCTAAATAATAAAGTCTTTAACTTACGCTTTGAACTTAACTAGTGAATCACATCACCTCACGCTAATAAAAAAGGTTTTTTTTACCAAACACCCAATGCTCACAACCCACACATCAGTGGCCCAGAGCATGAGTCTGGCGAGGAGAATTACACATTTCCATGCTTATTTCTTTCCCAACAGAGGCTGTCTTTGTTTCTTTGTCCAGATCAATGACAGATTGCAGAAACTGAGGAGAATCCGCCTCACCTGTCCTCGCCCCATGTGGATGTTTAGCACGGGAGGAGGGGCAGCATGGCGTGTTGCCGTGAAGTATCAATTTTTGATGCAATTGTGACTCAGCAAAAGTGCCTTTCAAAAGTCGAATGTCCACTGCAAGATCTGTGTGTGTATGAATCTGTTTGCGTTGGATGTTATTATTTCAAATGAGTTGTTAAAAAAGCTCTTTCAGGAACGATGGACGCTGTGTTTTTCGGGGTTGTCGTACTTCAAGTTTTGTCGTGTGCTCAGTCGTTTCCAAACGGGGCTCCAGCTTCAGCATGTGCGGATATGATCCCTCGGCATGGAGCGATACAGCCCCAGCCGAACCCTGCTCCATACACCATCCAGACCAGCAGCACCACCCTACAGCCCGGAAACCCCATCACAGGTGAGGACCATTTGCAGAAAATACGACAGGTCACTGCTGTTTCCAGACGAAAGCTTTTATAAATTAATTATTGACAATCTACATGCATGATTTTTCATTTTAAGTTATTTTGCAATTACATTTTTTAGTCATGTACAGTAGCCTCCACCCTATTTTCAAATGCTATTCTTTTTTTCCCTATTACTTTCAAAGATTTTTTTAAGGGTAGATGTGCTTGGAGTTAAAGGAGTAGTTCACTTTTAAAAAAACGTTTGCTGATAATTTACTCACCACCATGCAGAGCCGGATTAAATAAACGGACTACACTTGGCAGGCTGCATTTTTTTGGGCCCCCACTCTATCTATGTTATTACGGTACTAATAAAAGTAACTTTTACAAAGCCTTTGGTTACAAATTGGTTGTTTGTATGCCAAAATTAGTCATGTGTTGTATATTAAACAGTCTATCAGACTTTTTTTTTTTTAATTCTTTATATATACGTCATTACACGGCTATATTAAATGCTATTAAATTATCCTCATCTTATCCATTGAAGTGTCATTGTTAAAGCAGTAGTACCAATAAATAACCAATAGGTGTCAGTAAACTATGTAAACCTGTTTACATTTAATCAACACATTTGTGCAAAATACAATAGCTTAGAAGATTTATAAATGTTGTAATTAAGAGCAAAAAGGCAAACATGAGCCCTTCACATTCATCAAGACCATTTAGAAACTGTCTAACAATAAATAATAATAAATATAAGGATGGAGGATTTAAACTAAAACTTAAGGTATTCAGACTTTTAAAGACTTGTAAATGTATATATTTTTTTAAATATTCGCAGCTTAAAATGTTTGTCTTCCAGGTCTACAGATATTATGCACATTCCCAAACTGTCATTAATAGAGGAAATAATTGGAAAAAGAGGTGAAAGGGGCCATTTGTCAAATTATTATAATTTAATAATGTGTAACTCTAAAGAGTCTGCTGTAGACAAATTAAACACATGGAGGAAAGACTGAAGCATGTTTAAAGGTGCAGAAACAAATCATAAACATGCAGCTTAAATTATTACAGTATAAATGGATGACAAAGGTTTATATGGGGGGGGGGGTAATTTGAGGGAGGAGTTTAGACTTTTATTTTTTTAATTATGCTACATTTATCTCCTAAAATGTATGCTCACTCATTTCACATTGGGGTAATTTTGTTCTTAAGAATTTATGGAACACAAGGAAGCTTGATTTCAATCTTTGAATTAGATTGAAAAAGTAGAACAAAAAAAATACGATAGAATAAAGATACCTATAAGAGAAAAGTTTTTGCTGGTCTGAATCCAGTATTCAGAAATAGTAGGCTACTACAGAGACTGAATAAAGTAATTAAATGTAAATAACCCTGGGTAGTGTTTTAGTCCTGAACTAAATCAAATATAAAGGATATTAATCCTGATTCCTTAAAATGAAAGCTATGTTTTGTTGTTTTGACAATCAAATTAATGACAGACCATGTAAAGGCTGCTGTCACTGAGCTCGTGCACAGATCCTGTGACCACTAACATTATACGGTCACGTCACATGCGATGTAGCCTATGCTTATTTAAGACATAACCGACTGTTTAGAGCATACACAACAGTCACCAAGACTGAAATTTCTCATGATGCAATGCCTGCCCATGCAAATGACAATTCTGTTTATCCCGACTCTGAAACGCGAGTGTATTATCACCTCCTGAACGAGATGGGACATTTCATTTGTAAGTTCTTTATTTATTTATTTTTTATTATTATTATTATTTTTAAAGTGAACCACACCTTTAATTGTTTGATTTTATTACTTTTACTGTTAATGAATTGAAACACTCCAAATAATAATTTTGGCCAGACCAACATACAAAGAAACTAGTAACAGATGCAGAAACAAGAGAGAACCAACAAAATATTATTAAATGATTATTTTGTTTGCTTTTTTCCTGTGAGCTTCTTATTTTTCTAAAAATACAAAAATGGTGTGCACATCCCAAACACCCAATTTGGGAAATAATTGTGCCTGATGAAGACCTGAGGGTCAAAACGTTGCCTTTTAATAAATTCTTTTGGAGCTGTAATGTGCGGACTTCACACTTCTTTATGTGTCGTCTTATTTTTCTAAGCATTTTTTTAATTGTTATTATTTTTTAATAAAACAACCTGTAGCTGCAGTTTGCTACGGAAGCATATTGCAATCACTTGAGGAAACAAAATCTACTGAATTAATTTTTCTGAATTAACAAGTTAATTATCTCAGAATTACAAGATAATTTTTCATGGAAAAAAGTTTTTGCTCTGTTTTTCTGAATTAACGAGTTAATTATATCAGAATTGTGAGAAGTTCTCATGGAAAAAGTTTTTGCTCCGTTGTTCTGAATTAACGAGTTAATTTTTTATGGAAACAAGTTTTTGCTCTGTTTTTAGAAATTAACAAGTTAATTATCTCAGAATTACGAGATAATTTTTCATGGAAAAAAGTTTTTGCTCTGTTTTTCTGAATTAACGAGTTAATTATATCAGAATTGTGAGAAGTTCTCATGGAAAAAGTTTTTGCTCCGTTGTTCTGAATTAACGAGTTAATTTTTTATGGAAACAAGTTTTTGCTCTGTTTTTAGAAATTAACAAGTTAATTATCTCAGAATTACGAGATAATTTTTCATGGAAAAAAGTTTTTGCTCTGTTTTTCTGAATTAACGAGTTAATTATATCAGAATTGTGAGAAGTTCTCATGGAAAAAGTTTTTGCTCCGTTGTTCTGAATTAACGAGTTAATTTTTTATGGAAAAAAGTTTTTGCTCTGTTTTTCGAAATTAACAAGTTAATTATCTCAGAATTACGAGATAATTTTTAATGGAAAAAAGTTTTTGCTCTGTTTTTCTGAATTAACAAGTTAATTATCTCAGAATTATGAGATAAATTTTCATGGAAAAAAAGTTTTTTGAGATAATCAAGTTTTTGAGATAATCAAGTCATAAATATATATTATACCAAATAAATATATATTTATACAGTATAAAATAGTTTCCTCATGTTTTGGTTTAATCAGACTTGTAGGGTCATTGAAAACAAATACAATACTGTCCAAAAGTGATGTCTGGAGGGGACATATCATATCAATACCTAAAATGGGGTTAAAGTGGTGATGGCATCCTCAATTGAAAATGTTAATAATTTTTTTTTTTTTTTTTCAGTTGTAATCAAAGGTCCGGACTATGCCGGCGTTCTCCTCGAGGCTTGCTCTGGATCCGACACAACGGCATTAGGAACCTGGCAGACTCCTCCAAGTAACACTAAGTTCTTAGAGGTAAGGCTTTCTATGGGCTATATCTGACACACACATCATGTGACGTCATATCTGATGTCTGCATTTACATCTCCAAAATGTATTTTTCACCTGCAACGTCTCTGTTTACTGTCAGATGTTAAATTAGACATTTAGAAAATGTTTTTAAGATGTTTATGATTTAGAATGTATGTAAAACTTTATTTTAAGATGTTTTCCAGATCAAGCAGACAACCTTTAGCAGACATCGTGTCTGTGCGTAATATGATTACATATGATTTAAATAATACAGAACCACTTAATTTAGAAATATTAGACTGCACTGCACCCCTAAAAAATGACCATGATGATCAAAGTTCCCACGCTCCAATGCAAACTGTGATGCATTGAAGAGGGATTTCACATATGTAGCCATTTTGTAAGATTTAATTGGCTTCATTGTTTTTGTTTTGGTGGTATAACCAATTTATGTCAGAGTATAGGCCTACCTATAAGTAAATCACATCCGGTATCCTCTGTATTTTGTAACATGGAAGTAATCTGTTTTCTGTGAATGTGCGAGACTTTCGATTCATTGGGGACTATATGTAAATAAGTAGAAGAATAATAAATTGCAGAAAAGGTAAAACTATCTGCACTACAAAGCAGTGTGTTACAAGTCGACAATACATTCAAATAATATGGTAAGAAATACCAGTTTGCTATATCAAGCAGCATAACAAGCTGTTTGTACATCGATAAATAACTGGACGCGAATGACAGCGGAAGCCAGACCCATTCAATTTACAAATGGCCGCTTGTTTTGAAAATAAGGTCGATAGATTTGGTAATTGTAGTTGCTGAATGTCACTTGTGTTTCCTAGTGTTCAGGAAACCCACAAGGTGCCATCACCCATGCCAACACCCTCATCAAAAACAACTCCACCGTCTATACCTGGACTCCACCAGCTACTGCAAAGAGCATCTTCTTCATGTAAGAGTGAACATTTACAATTGACCTATGGCTAAGCCACGCCCTCAAACGCGATGAGCCAATCACAGTGCGCAGCTAACCCAATACACTCGGACATTCTCTGCTTCCACATCCGTTGAAATGCATTGGAGTCAGTTTTCATTAGTTTTTTCTTGTTGTTTTAAGTTTAAAATGGTCAAACGGTGTGCATGGGGTACATGCAATTTTTTTTACCCTTTCCCAAGCCACATGTCAACCGAGATAAGTGTCTGCTCTGGATTAAGTTATGCGGTAGACCACAACACCAACTCAACGTGGATACATTAAACAAGGATGTCTACATCTGTTCTAAGTTAAGTCAACAACGTATTTGAACGTTATCTTCTAACGCAATGTTAGGTTAGACTAACATTCGAAAATGTTAACGTTAGCTTTTAGCTGCGTTGTACATCATGTCACTTAGCTTCATTAACGTATCTGTAAATAACCAAAATAACAAATGTTAACAATGCTGAATGATTCATGTAAATACTGTGGCACCAAACGGGTGATGGCAACGATATGCGGTTTATCGCGTTTACACTGTGACCTGTACATCTCTGCGTGGAGCTGATAATTTTATAATAATATTAAAATTATTAATATAACCCTCCAATGCATAGTTAATGCCCTTTAGGTGTCTTCGAGATGATACATAATTTTTCTGTCTCCAAAAATGACCAATTGCCTCTTGTGAAATGTCTGCCATAGCGCCTGTCCCCGAATGCTGACTGCGTGTCCGAGTGAGTGGAGGGGGCGTGGCTTAGCCATGGGTCAATTGACACTGCATAACTGTAGGCCTACTAAAGGGCCGTACACACCAGGACGAATATCGGTGCACGTTATTCGCCAGCGTTTTTCAGCGCGTTTTTTGTGTTCACACCCAAGCGATTTTCGCTGACGATGAGCCGAGTGAACATGCAAATTCACTCCCTGACATTAGATGGCGCCCATTTGCTCTGCGATACCACTCCATAACAGTTCTCTTTTATCTGTCGTGTTTGTCATATAGTTCTTTGTTCTAACACCAGCGAGATTCATCTTGCCTCGCATCTTCCTCGTCTTATTTCTTCCTGGCAGTGTAGACCATAGATATCCATAATAAAGGCTAGATGTCTTATGGCGGAGTCTCTATCGTCATCACCGGCGGCCATCTTGTCACAGGCAAGCTTTCTGGCGGGCTCTGTGGTTCCTGATGATCAGCACGAACACAAATACTCTTATCTCGCTTTAACAACGGTTTGGTTTGTTACAAACGTTATTAGCGTGGCTATAATTCTAGATGATTATTTATTTATACACTTATTATTCGTAAGTATGCAGTGTCATTACTACATCTCTGACGTTTATAACAAACCAAACCGTTTGAAAAGCGGTAGAATATTGAGCAAGTTATGATTATTTAAAAAGCACATGCACCATTAAAACAATGTTACGAGTGAACAAGATGGCCGCCAGTTGCGGACGTCGACTTCCATTGGCCAGCAGCGCGGACGAGACATCTAGCCTTTATTATGGATATCTATGGGGTAGACGGCGACGCTACTTCAAACGCTACAGCGCGTCAAACCAAAAAAAAACGAACCCGACTCCCGAGGCATTTTTAAAAAAAATTACGCTTTTACATGTGCCGTTTTCCACGTCGGTGTGCACACTCACATTGGCGCCCTTTGTTTAGTCACGAGGCGTTAAACGCGAAATTCGTCCCGGTGTGAACAGGCCTTACTGCTGTAAGTTGTATTTGGTTCAAACTGTGAAAAATTAAGAATGTGATATTTGAATATCACTTTTATTTTTTATTTTTTTAATAATCCATAGAAATGTTTAAAACACTTTATTATTTGTCCACTACTTCCTCAGGGCCACCGTAGCCCAGCAGCGCAGTGTGTTCTGGGTAAATGTGAAGTCTCCGACTCTGACCCAAAGTGAGTGAAAATGGAAACAATTGGATAATTCTGGAATCCTTTATAGTTTTGTACATTTTATGTAGAATTTAAACGCTGTCACAATAGCCTTGTACAAAGCCTTGATTTAGATTTTCAGGCTCTACTACACTGTAAAAATTAATATGCTTTATCTAATCAAAAACATTGTGGCAACAGTTTACAAGCAATATTATTAATTAGATTTAACAAATTAGAATTGTGTAATAATTAATCAAATTAATTCCTTAAGTTAACCATTTAAAGTCCCCGTGAACCGGAAGTTGCAAACGATTTTTCTCCAGTGCTGTGACGTATTTCCAAGTGAAACGGAATAGTGAACAGAGGGCAGGGTTTTACTCTAGCGCTCCTCCTCTCCATCTCTCGCTCATAGCAAACTAACGGTTTGAGGGGAGTGGTTAAGCGTTTCCCCACCCAAACTGTGAAACCTACGTCATTAGAAAAAGAAACCGTTCCAGACCGGAAGTAACTTTTCAGATTTTGATTAAAGATTACTAAGGTAAAACATTTTTTTAATATATATTCACTTGCACGGATTAATTGTTCACCACAAGACTAGTAATATGCGCTAACAAAGTAAATAGGTTCAATTTTGATTTCACGGGGACTTTAAAATGAGTAAAACTTACAACAACCACAAAAAAAAAACATAAATTGAAGTCACCATTATGGTGATCAGTGTTTGTTTTAGGTTTGTTTTAAAATTACGGTTTTCTTCTCTTCTGCTTATTAACATCAGGTGTCTTTAATGTTGGCAATATAAAATAAAGAGTCCTTAATTAATCTTTGACGTTTGAACATTATGGAATAATTTGATTAAGTATTACTCAATTCTAATTTGTTAAATTTAGTTAATAATATTGCTTGTAATCTGTTGCCACAATTCTATTGATTAGATAAAGCATATTTATTTTTATAGTGTAGGATAGGTTTTTATGCCTTGGGTGGTAACTGTTTAAAAGAAGAATACGTGATGTGTTTGTTCCCAGAACTGAGGCTTTTCAGGAACAGCGACACTGATATAGAGAATAACTCCCGCTGGAGGGACAGTCACGCTCAAACAGCAACATTACACACTAAAGAACATGTGACTGTGTAAAACAGCATTTTTGTCCCTCTTTAATAACACTCTAATAATCTTTTCTCTCCTTTTACAAGGTGGAGGAACATCGCTTGATGTGAACAATAGTGCTGAAAGAACTGCCACCCCCGTCCTGATGCTTCTTGTTGTTCTGATGGCAAGTGTTCAGTGTCTAGTTGCTTAAAAAGTCAATTATACCAGCTCAGTTACTCAGTATAAAATATTTAATCCCCATTGAATATTTAGATGCACAATTACATTTAGAGGATAGTAAAAATAGTTATATTTAGCGGATAGTACTCTGGTGAAAAATCAGAAACATCATCCTGATGATTGCACAAAAAATGAGCAAATAGTTAAAGGGATAGTTATTCCAAAAATTAAAATCCTGTCATCATTTACTCACCCTCAAGTTGTTCCGAACCTGTATGAGCTTCTTTTTTCTGTTGAACACAAAAAATATATTTTGAAGAATGTGGGTCCACCAAACAGTTGATGGGCTTCATTGACTTCCATAGCATATTTTTTTTCTCCATACTATGAAAGTCATCAACGGTTTGGTTTCATGACACATTGATGATTCAGTTATTGGGCGTCATATTTGACACTAATTGTCATTTTGAAGGCATTTATGTGTCTATCATAACTTCAATGATGGACTACCTTAAACAACTTTTAAATGGACGACCCATTATCTCCATTAAAGCTCTTTTAAAACCGAGGAACCTCAGGTGCTCTGACCGGGTCCAGAAGATGTGATCGCATTATCATATCTACACTGGTGACCATGTGTCCGGATTATATCTGCACAAATTAACATTTGTATGTCTGTACCTATATTTGCATTAAATATGTGTGAACTGGAGGTTGTACTGTCTTCAATGGAGAAGATTGTACATTTTATCCCACTGTTTTTATATTTAAAAAAAAACAAAACATGTGTTGTAAAAAGCGATAGAGCTTACCACATTGAAATATTGTTTATACTGCTACTATGTTTTGTAACTCTTTTAGTTTATTCTTAGCTAAAAACACTTAGTTCTTTCAAAAATATATGTGCTCATTAATGTATATCTACTTCGTTCAAGTAATAAAGTATTCTCGTGAGTGTATAATATGCCATACGGGTGTTGGTCGCCATGTTGCCCCTCCATCTTCGCCTTCGCGTTTACGTTTGAGTTAACACTCATGGACGAGGTCGAACTGGAAGCCATGTTAATCTTGGACTACATTGGCCACCGTAGGAGATAAAAACGAAATCGGAATTAAGAGGAACAGAAACTAACATTCACTGGATGCTCATATACCTTTTCACCACTAGATGGGGGTAAAAATCACACAGTGTAGCTTTAAGGCATGTCAAACTTTTCAAAGAGTTATATATTACATTATTGGCACCTCACAATGTTGCTAAACTTTAACCGGGTTAAAGGCTTTTTTCCCCTTTTGATGAAACAGTTTAGTTCATAAATATAACTAAACTGCTTCAGATTGCGAATGCCAGTGATTCTCAAACGTTTTTAGCATGAGGCCGTCTTCATATCGGTTGCATGGCCTTGGGGCCCGAAGAAAATTCATGACGCAATTAAATCCAATTTTGATATTAATTTACTATTCACAGTAAATGCAGATAGACCTTATGTAGCCCCGCCCCTTTTCAGCGCTGCGCTCGTTGTCTTTTGACTTCCGGTCTGTATTTTCACAGCCATCTTGCATAGGTATGAATGAACTACTCGTAAATAATTTCCCGGTCGACATTTGTTAAGACATCTGCTTTACAATGCTTATGATAAACAATATAATACTCTTGATAACTTTTGTTAACTCTACAATAAGTAAATCCACTTCAAAAGCTAATTACTCCTCGACAGCGATGCCATAGAAATATACAGAGCGGCCGCAAAAACAGAAGTTCAAAGACAATATTCTAAAGATGACGGCGCCCACGTTTCTCTGGTGCATAAGGTCTATAGGAACGTTTCCAGTTCTTGTTGTTTAAGGCTACAGGTTTACACGGAAACGATTCTGAAGAGAAAACGCAAAAGTGGCGTTACATTATCTCTTTTTAATCTGCGTTTAGACGAGCGTTATGGGTGGGAAATCCGTGTACATCTGGTGACGCAAAAGTGTGTGAAATTCAATGTAGTATGCACTCCAGGCGGCTAGGTGGCGATGTGAAGCACTGCCACACAACAACACCAAGTCCGCGCGCGTTCAACCTTCACTGTCAAGCAGACTTTTGTGTTTTTACCCTTTAGACGGTGGAGCGTTTTTAAGATTTCCACTCTGGAGGGCGGTTTCACTTTTTTGCGTTTTTAAGCCACAAAAACGGCGTCGCCGCGTAAACGAAAGGCACATCCGATAAAATATTTTTACGTTTTCACCCGCGAGCGTTCTCGTGTAAACAGAGAGAACGTGTGCAACAAAAAAGGTTCCATGGATGTTTAAGGTTCTTCATGGAACCATAGATGCCAATAAATAACCTTTATTTTTCAGCCTCACATGCAATTCACGTAATACACAGGTTTGAACGTTTTTTCTTCAAAGAGTGTAACTCTGTGGAGTGTCACATGATCTTCTTGAGCTCGTCGTACAGCACCAGGACGAAGGATCCACCCATGCTTCTGAGAACATTAGACCAGGCACCCTTGTAGAAGGCCTTGACACCTTCATCACGCGCAGTCTTCCTCCAGCAGTCCAGCGAGCCGCTGTACATTACATCAGCTGAAATAAAAGAATCAAACACTCATGACATTAAAGGACTAGTTCACTTTAAAAAAAACTAATTTACTCACCCCCATGTCATCCAAGATGTCCATGTCTTTCTTTCTTCAGTCGAAAAGAAATTAAGGTTTTTGATGAAAACATTCCAGGATTTTCTCCATATAATGGACTTCAATGGGGACCAAACGGTTCAAGGTCCAAATGAGAGTGTCAGTGCAGCTTCAAAAGGCTTTAAACGTCACCCGATGATCTAGCAAAACGAACGCTCATTTCAGAAATAAATAACAAAGTTTTATAAGCTCAAATGGTCGTCTCGCTCTGTTTTGTGTGACTCTCTTGTTCAAACTCGTTCATCAAAATGAACGAATCTTTTTTTCGAGTCAATTCGGTCATTTCGTTTGTTGAATGAAGCAAATGACTTGAAAAAAGATCCGTTCTTATAAAACTTAAACTTTGTTATTTATTTTTTAAATGAGCGATTGTTTCGCTAGATAAGACCCTTATTCATCGTCTGGTGTCGTTTAAAGCCCTTTGAAGCTGCACTGAAACTCTCATTTGGACCTTGAACCGTTTGGTTCCCAATGAAGTCCATTATATGGAGAAAATCCTGGAATGTTTTCATCAAAAACCTTAATTTCTTTTCGACTGAAGAAAGAAAGACATGGACATCTTGGATGACATGGGGGTGAGTAAATTATCAGCAAAAGTTTTTTTTTTTAAAGTGAACTACTCCTTTAAAGACTGGACATAGGGCTGCGGTCAAATCGATTCATATTTTCAAAAAAATCGATAGAAAAATTCTCCCCATTATTAATAATTTGGATGTTTAACAATCTTTGTTGCACACTGCACAGCGATTTTTCAGTTAGAGAACAGGTTTGCCATTTACAGTTTTGTTTATGTTGATGCACTTTAATTAAATACAATAAATATATACTTTTAAAATATATTTACAGTTCGCAGTTATTTTGCTTTAAGTGGAGGGGGGGATCGAATAGAATCGTATATCGAGTTTTTTATTTAAAAAAAAATCACAGATTTGTTTAGGGGGAAAAAATCGCCCAGCTCTAGACATAACCAAACAAACACAGATTTTGGATGGAATATGGGAGGGAAAACATTTTTTTTTGGATATTACCTCCTTTACGTCCAGACTGCATCATCATGCAACGGCGTACCGTGTCGAAGGGATACGATATGAGCCCAGCGACAGTAGTGACTGTGTGAGCGATCATCCAGCTGACCACGATATGAGTGTTCTGAGGGTCGGGCAGCATCCCTAGAAAACACACATGCTTCAAACAAATGCCAAAATGGATGTCGTTGCCCAATAAGGGTTAACAAAGACCAACAAAGTGTTTTAGTTTGAAAACATTCATTAAAGTATTATATTTTCGTCTAAAGCCGAAAAAGATCAAGATCCAACAAGTCTGGACCTCTATGGAGTGTAGAGCTGTAGGGCCCAAGAACTGAAAGTGTGAAGGGTCCTATTGTTTTCCAAAAGATTATTTTTTAATAGGGCCCAAAGCAATTGTTTATGTATTTATTTTATTTGTTTGATTGTTTTTGGGTGTGGTGGGGGACTTTAAACAGCCTTTAGAGTCATAGTTGGACAGATGTAGAATGTTGCCACCAGTATAGACACATAGAAAACAATCTACTCGTATTTTAAAGACGTGGTGCTTCACGTTCAGTGTGTCTTTGTTTTTTCAATTGTTGGGGCTCCTGGTTTAGTAAACAAATTTGTTACAGAGTTGATTTGAATTTGGTTGATCTTATGCGAGTGACCTCAAACCAGTACATATCATAGAAGAAAGATGTCGCTGCAAGAAGGAGGGGGAAAAACTCGGAGTAAAATTTGTAGTAAAGATTATTAGGTCACATGAAACGTTTGAAAAAAATAATAATAATAGTAAAAATAATAACTCTAAATAAATGCTGGGTTGTTTTAACCAAATTTTGGGTCAAATATGGACCAACTCAAACATTGGCTTAAAATTTAAAAATGTAACCCAATGGCTGGGTTTGTCCATATTTGACCCAAAATTGGGTTAAAACAACCCAGCATTTATTTAGAGTGTATCTTTGCATATTGCACACTGTAAAAATGAATACGACTGAATATGCTAAATCTAATCAGCAAAACTGAGGCAACAGATTACAATCAATATAATTAATTAAATTTAACAAATTAGAATTGAGTAATAACTAACCAAATTAATTACTTAAAAGTTAACCATTGAAAATGAGTAGAATTTACACATTTAAAAAAACAAAAAAAAAAATATCGGAAAAATTAATGAAGTAAGAACTCTTTTTTTATTTTTATTTTTCTATTGCCAACACTGAAGACACCTGATGATAACAAGCAGAATCACTGAAAGAGAAAAATGTATTTTAAGTCACCATTATGAAGATCAGTGTGTGTTTTTT